CGCCTATGCCCCGACAGATTGCAGCCCGGATCCAATCAGGGATGAGTTTTACCACCAGCTGTCTCTTCTTCTCCAGAAAGTGCGCTCGACAGATATTGTAGTACTAGCCGGAGACTTGAATGCTCAGGTCGGGCGTCTGGGCACAGAAGAGAGTCGTTTAGGTGGCCAATGGGGACTTGTTGGTCGCAGGACAGATAACGGGGACCGTGTACTGCAACAGTGCACAGACCACAAACTGTTTCTGGCTAGCACTAACTTCCGACACAGTCATCGCCGTTGTGCCGCCTAACATCCTTTCTCTGCATCCCAAGCCTGGACTCAGATTGATCACATCGCGATCATCTACCGTTGGCGTGGTTGTGTACAAGACTGCCGCTCCTTTTGGAGTACCTATCTGGACTCTGACCATGCTTTGGTCTGCGCCAATCTTACCTTACTTTTCAGTGGACAACGCAGTGACCGCCACCAACGGATTAATGTTAGCAAGCTGGTTGCACCTTCTGTTGCTAGTAAGTATCGAACCAAGCTAACTGCAATTGCAGGACGCCATGAAAATGGCGGGAACAGTCAGTTGTGGGTTCGCGAAACGTCCCGCTTATAAGCACTGGGTTTCTTCTGGTTCCTTACAACTCATTGAAGCCCGTCGGTCTACTCCGGGTGACCGTGAGTTTGACCATAAACGAAGGATGTTACGTAAGGAAATTGGGCAAAGCTTGCGTAAGGACCGAGAAGCCTGGTGGTCGGAGCGTGCTAATGAGCTGGAAGCAGCAGCTGCATCTGGTAATTACCGGAAGATCTTCCAACCCATCCGAGCCACTGGCAGCCAGAAGTCTGGTGTGATTAAACAATCTGCGAGGATGATGGGATGCCAATCACTAACATCCATCGACGTCTTGGACGATGGGCAGAATTTTTCGAAGGGCAGTTCAACTAATCTGCCACTCCGGCAACATCGGTCAGACTGTCCTGCCCTCCATGGCCGGTGACGACTGATCCACCAAACGAGGAGGAAGTCCGCAAGGAACTCCAATTCTTGAAGCGTTACAAATCACCTGGCCCAGATGACTTACCTCCGGCTCTTTATAAAGATGGTGGTGACTTTTTGACTAAGGAATTGACGACGTTGTTTACAAAGGTGTGGAAGCTAGAGAGTGTACCAACGTCATGGAATGAGTCGATAGTTGTCCCTATCTTTAAAAAGGGTTCACGTCGTTCCTGCAACAACTATCGGGTGATAAGTCTACTTCCGATTGCGTCCAAGCTATTGGCTTCCGTCATACTTCGTAGGTTGTTCAAAACCCGAGAAAGATTGACTCATGAGGAGCAGGCTGGGTTTCGTTCTGGTCGAGGTTGTATTGATCATATCTTCACCCTCCGCCAAATGTTATAGCATCACCATACTTATCAAAGGCCAACAATCGTAGTTTTTCTTGACATCAGGGCTGCCTCCGATTCGTTGGACAGGACTGTTCTCTGGGATTGTCTATTGAAGAAGAGTGTGCCTGAGTTTATTCACATCCTAAAAGTCCTATATACAAACACCTCAGGTAGAGTGAGGGCATACAACCACCTCTCTCCATTGTTCCATTCGAATAGTGGGGTTAGGCAGGGTTGCCCAATCTCACCATTCCTCTTCAACTTTACCATCGATGACATTCTGGAAACAGCTCTGATGGATGTAAGTATTGATGGTGTGGATCTGTTGCCTGGAGAAAGATTTCTCGACCTTGAGTATGCGAATGATATTGTCTTACTGTGCGATAATGCCCAAGCCATGCAATCCTCACTTAATCAGTTGGCAATCAGTGTCCGTAGATATGGTATGTGCTTTGCACCTTCGAAGTGCAAAGTACTTCTACAAGACTGGCAAAATTCTAATCCTGTACTCACACTGGATAGTGAGCAGATAGACGTAGTCGAGAAGTTCGTGTATCTGGGTAGCTGCATAAGTGCTGGTGGGGGGGGTGAGTGATGAGATCAATGCACGTATAGTGAAAGCCAGAGCGGCTTATGCCGATCTGGGCCACCTTTGGTGCCTTCGTGATGTTAATCTGGCTGTAAAAGGTCGGATCTACAACGCGTCGGTGAGAGTAGTTTTGCTCTATGCTTGTGAAACCTGGCCTCTCCGAGTTGAGGATGTTAGACGACTCTCTGTGTTTGGTCATCGTTGTCTCCGAAGGATTGCTGGCATCCAGTGGCAACACCATGTTAGTAATGCAGAGGCTCGGCATCGTGTGTTCGGGCACAGAGACGATAATGCAATTGGTGTCACCATCTTGAAACACTGACTTCGGTGGCTTGGGCATGTTCTACGAATGTCGTCCCAGAGAATTCCACATCGTGCATTATTTGCCGACTCTGTGACTGGTTGGAAAAAGCGGAGAGGTGGTCAGTGTATGACATGGTATGAAAGAAATCTGCAAAGGGCTGGCTTGTGTTGATCCTTCACGACTCCCTGGTTGGGGTCCGAGAGATGTTGCAACACAGTGACTAGAAACGTTATCAGATATGGCTCAGAATAGAAGTCAGTGGTGATCCTGCTGTAACCTTCTTTTACTTTCTTCATAAAAAGTGGTTGTATATTCCTTAACTGAAGGGTTTCTTCTGATTGTACCTTTCCATTCCCCCATTATTACCACTTATTATTACACTAACTTACACCAATTTCTTCCTTATTGTTCTTTTTTTACCCTCCTTACCTTTTTTTCTTTTTCCTTCTCTTTAAATCCTCATTGTTTTGTGTGGCGCATATATATTTGGCGCACTCTTGTACCAATATGTATGTGCTCAAATAAAAATAAATAAGTAACCAGAAACGTAATCCGGTTGTCACCGACTACAAATGTCGAAACATGTTGTAGAGGAACATTGGCATGATCAAATTACATTTCCGTATATTAGCAGCCTATGAATGGCTAGAGAAATGTCACTTAGAAATGCGCTCTTTCATTCGTGAAAGTTTTATGCACTGTCAGTATCAGTAAGTGGATATCACTTTTAACATATATTTAACAATTATGAGCATAAGAGTTTAAACCACATTTGCTTTGATTCCAAACAGAACCAACAAACTCAACCCAAATGTTAAACCAGCCAAAGAAACATGATAAGCGGCATAGTAAACCATCATTTACTGTAAAGAAACATCCGACTGCATTTGCGTCGAGCGTTCAACCCGTAGATCGTGCCTGTGGATATTCACTTCAACAACAATCCTGTAGCCTAAGACCTTGCTTGCCCATCCAATCACCAAATCACTGGAATATGTATCCTAGCGTTCAACCTCAATGGCAAAATCCAACTTATTGTTACAGCACCTGGCCTTCCGTACCGTCATACCCTCCGACAGTACAAAATCCTTACCCATATGTACCGCGAAACCCAATGCCACCACATCCATTTTCATATCATTTTACGTTTGCCGGTAAAGCATTCAATTTTTATAATATATTATATTTTCCTCTACAAGGTTAATCTGCTTAAAAATCATATGCCATCAAATTGTTTGCATAATTATTAAGTATTGGGAAAGTGCTTTTTTAACATTAGCTATGGTTTCTATGTAATTTAGCAACAAACATATCTAGAACCCATTTCTAGATTCATATCTACAAAAGACGCTGTCAAAAGCATTCAAATGAAATCAAATACTAGCGGTTTGGGACAACAGGCTTGTTTCTATTAGCATTTGGCGTAGGCTTTTTGGCTTGTCTTTCAACTATTGTGATTAGTCGTCTACAAAAACGTTGTTTAGATTGTCATATTAAGAAGAAGCTTGTAGAATTTACGCCTCTCCTAAATTACTGTAGAACTACGAAACTAATCGTTTGAATGCAGTTAGCGATCTGTGGAACTATAACTTCGGTACTGCACGAAGGTCAGTCAAGGTAGTTTCAGTATTTTGCTAATTATACTTTTCTTTTACTATAACCTTTTCCCAATTTTTTCTTTCTGTTCGAATCGAAATAGATGCTCTCCCTGAAGAACCTTACCAACAGAATTCGTGGTCACCGTATGCTTCATCCTGATTACAGAATTATTCAACGTTTCATAAACCATTTATGCACAAAATATAAATATATAGCGATTAAGTGATCTTTTTTATTATCATATAGCAAATATTATTTTACTACCAGTTTTTAAGCTTGACTGTACACAAGCTTAGTTTATACAATAGTAGCACCTGAAATCTACCTTAGTACTCAGGTGTATACATGTTGGGGACAATAGATCCCCAGAACTCACTTGGGAAAGGACCTAATTTTGCAACTTTATTTAGAAAATTTGAATCGCTTTGTTTCCGTGCCAAAAACGCTCTTGTCACTATGTCGTATTTCCCACTGGGTAATATCTTGAATGCTATCGGTCCGTTGCGTCTTTTAGTATGCTATTTGGTAACTCTCCTCAATGGCGGTTTTGTACTGTATATACACGTTTCGAATTGTTTGTTGTTATCGCTCGTTTCCGGCTGTTTGCAGAATATACTTCCCCATTCCAAGCTTGGATTTCTCCTTCTAGTTAGCGGGGATGGGACGCATCAATAGCTAGCTTACTGGTCACCGAGTCTTGTTTCTCGTTCGCAGATTAAGTGAACTCGTGATAGCTTCAACCCTATTAATACATTTCTAAAAGTATCGTTTGAAAATTTGACTAGTTTTGATGTTAACTAAATCTTAAGATTGTTAATAAATTACCAAAAGTCTGTGTCTAGGCGAAGCTGGCGAAAAATTAGTCGTTGCGAACTGAATGCATCATTTGACTATTCTCAATGATTATGGGCAAAAAGCATACTCTGAATGTGGACACCCCGATGAATTCAACTTTGAAAAAGAAAATTAACCACCGAACCAAGTAGCTCTATTTTTTCTAGCTCCAATTTAGCGTACACAAAATGGAATGAGTGTTTTATAACTGAAATCTAAAAACAAGTGCAATAAAGTCCATGCTAAAGGTTATAAATCGATATTTAAGTACGTTACAGAACGGTTAATTTGAAAATGTTAGACACGGAATGTACGTACAACGCGGACAATGCTTTGTCTACATAGTGGGCATTCAGTCAGCTTTCTTCCGCAATCAACACAAGAAAATAAATGACCACATTCTAAAAAGACACAATTAATTGGAGCTTCCATACAAATCCCGCATTCATCATTCAAATCAGCTGGACATTTTTCACTCGATGTTCCAGCATTCTGACAATCTTCAAACTCTATTGCTTCTTGAGCTTCAAATATGACTGTAGGAAGAAAACATAAACCAACGAATTGATCAGTGTGTTTTTATGGACATTATTACGGATTCTTATAGAATTGTGATCTGTTTTTCATACAAATAAACAAAATTCGATATTGACACTATTTCTATATGTAGATGGATGTGGATAACAGCAACTTAACATGTCGAATTGAGATAGAAGACATTTTAGTCGAATTGTCTGTTTTCTCGCAATCTCTCAAAACGTACTTTTGTCCTAATCAGAACTATCACTAACAAAGTGCATTGCTGTAAGCATTCCTTCAGAGACGACTATGGTCCTCTGAACATTTTCAACTCAGAGACCCTGAATTATCTCTCCTTACTTTGTGTGATGTGTTATACAGAGCCTCCAAAATACTGATGTTTTTCAGATGCTCGTGCTTAGTAGACAATCTTGAAGAAAATCCGGTTTAACGAGCAGAAAGTGTTTCTGATGTTAATTCATGATTGTTGCTCTGTGAAGTTTTTCACGAGACGAAGTTTTTTTTAACACCCACAAAAGCATTGTTTGAAGTCAGTCAGTAACAACGTAGAACTTTGTACGTACATACATCAGTTCGAGTTGCCACACCACATTAGCACAGAGATGCAGTGGTCGATTCAAATCCCGCAGTGGTAGAGGTAATATGAGTATAAGCAGTAATCGGAAAGATTAGTGTTTGGAGATGTTACTTAAAGAGTATAATCCAGTGAAATAAATTTGGGAAGATAAAAAAGAGACAAGGGGGAATCAGGAGATCGAAATTTGGGAGAACATAAAGAGTGGATGCACCTGCGCCATTGCAGACGATTTTGAGCCATGTCATTCAAGGTCTCTAACCATCGGTTGCTATCATCTCGCGGTCCCCAACCAGGTAGTCTACACCTACCAACATGACTCAGTCCACTTGTCAGCGACTTCATGGACTTGTGCCATGTTTCGGTCTGGCCGCCCCTAGCTTTCTTCCAACCTACTCCTATACCACTGAACATCGCACGTCGAGGCAGTCGGTCGTTGAGCATACGTAACACGTGTCCCAGCCATCTCAACTGATGAAGTTTCACCACTTCATCAATTGATTTTCCATCCTTACCTAGTACCCGTTTCCCAACAACTGCATTACTTACTCGATGGTCCCAGGATATACGAGCAATATTTCGAAGACACCTATGATCAAATACTAGTAGTCTACGAATATCCTCTACTCTTACCGGCCATGTTTCACTGCCATAAAGCAGGACGGAACGAACTGCTGCGCAGTAAACCCGTCCTTTGGTTGATAGACGGATATCTCGCCTACGCCATAAATGACGCAAGTTGGCAAAAGCTAGTCGAGCCTTCCGTATCCGTGCTGAGATTTTGTCCCATACCAGACCACAAGGGCTGATGAGACTTCCAAGATAAGTGAAGCGGTCGACACGCTCAATTACTTCACTCCCTATCATTAGTTCGGGTGTCGAAGTAAGATTTTGCATTTCGAGGTAGAGAATCGCATCCCGAACATGCTTGCATTGCTGCTTAGAATGGTCAGAAGACTCTGCATTTTGTCAGCGTCTTCGCCAAATAAAACTATGTCATCAGCATATTCTAAGTCAACAAGTGAACCTCCTGGTAGTTCAACCCCTGGAAATTTAGATGAGGAAAGTGTGATCTCTAAAAGTACATCAATGACAAAGTTGAGCAAGAAAGGAGAGAGTGGACAGCCCTGACGAACACCACTTGAGGTAATCAATTCTGATGACAGTTCGCCATAAGCTCTCATTCTGCCAGTTGTGTTCGAGTAGAGAGCCTTTACAAGGTTAATGTACTTCTTTGGTACTCCTTTCAGAGACAAACACTGCCATAGAACCTCACGATCAACAGAGTCGAATGCCGCCTTAAGGTCGAGAAATACTACAATTGTGAGGCGTCTAAACGTGTGTCTGTGTTCTAGAACCTGACGTAGTGTGAATATTTAGTCTATACAACCACGTCCAGGTAGAAAACCGGCCTGATTTTCTCTAGTCTGCTCTTCACGAGCTTTGATTAGACGTCGAAGTATTATTGAGGCTAATATTTTAGACAGTATATTTGTCAAACTGATTCCTGTGATTGTCACAAGAGGACTTTTGTCCTTTCTTATAGACTGGCACAATCAATGATTGAGACCAGTCAGATGGGATTACGTCCAGTTCTCAAATTCTACCTAGGACCTCACTTAATCTCACTGCTAATACTAGACCACCATCCTTAAAAATCTCAGGAGTAAATCTGTCAGGGCCTGCTGCTCTCGCTCGCTTCAGATTTCCTATGGCTTTTTCAACTTCGTAAAGAGACGGAGGACCTACATTAACTTGCCACTCAGGTTGACCAGAGATCGTGGGAAATCAAAGTGTGGCTGAAGGCCAGTTGAACTGATCCCTGAAGTGTTCTGCCCATCGATCCAATCTCCTGGATTGAGAGTGTATAATATGTCCATCTTTCTCTGAGATAGCTTTGCTAACAGTCGGTTTCCTAAACAAGTCTGAACAATTGTCTGCTATTACCTATTGCCGCTGCCTTTTCCAACTCTCTTACTTTCGCTACCCACCACTGTTCACGATCATTGCGTAGACTTCTTGTCAGTTTGCGCTTAAGCTGACTCCGCTCTTCATTATGTTCAGAGCCAGGTGGAATGAGTTTCCGAGCATCTATCAGTGCGATACATGCTGCTGAGATCCAGTGTCGTTCCCTAACCTTACGGGTTACCGTACTAGCAGATATCACTGCTGTTTCCACAGCTTCACGCATATCATTCCATGCTGCCTCGGGGTGGGCGTCACATACATGGCTGCCTAACTGTTTTCCTATTTGTTCCTGGAATATACTCTTAGCTTGACTATCATTAAGTAGGGCCCTAAGAGGTTTACTTGCAGCGTCTTTCCTACGTCCAATAAGACGCAGACAGATACGCGCTCGTGCTACAGCATGATCTGAATCTAAGCATGTGCTCCAGAATGAGCGACAGTCTTCTATCGAGCCCCTCCATCGGTGGCTGATAGCGATGTGATCTATTTGGGTTCAATGTTGGGACGAACTAGGGGGTCGCTATGTCAAAAGATGTTTTTCCTTATGCTTAAAGTTAGTATTTGCAAGAAAGAGGCGGTTTTCCTAGCATAGCTGCAACAGACGGTCGCCATTATCTGTTCTTTGAGCCATGATGCTATAAGATCCACCTAGGTGTCTTTCCCTATCGCTTAGTTTACCTACTTGAGCATTAAAGCCACCGGCCAATATTACTACATCAGAGCGCCTAGCTTTTCGGAGAAGGTCGGAGAGCTTTCTGTAAAACTCATCTTTTACATCATCTGAGCTGCAGTCAGTGGGAGAATAGGCAGAAACGACGAAGAGGCAACGATGGGTGTCCCTATCTTTTCGGATCCTTACTGTTCCGTTTAGTCGGACAGCGCACAAACGACTGTCTACTGGGATCCAGTCTGAGAGAGCTAGTTCTGCCCTAGGACTCAATGCTATGCCTATGCCAGCGAGGCCACGGGAAGCAGAATCAGGGCTTCCAGATACACGAATCGAGTCGGTTCTTTATTTTGGCATGGTGAGGTCAGATGAATGACGCTACTCGGATCCTGTATGCGCGTTTCAGAGACGCAGCACATGTCGATGGCGCGAGATTCTAAAGCCCTAGCTAAGGAAGCCTGTTGTCCTATTTGGCACAGTGTTCGGAATTTAAAAACGTGAGGAGGGTTAGTCATGGAGATAAAAGAGGTATTAGGAGGTGTAGGAAGGATTTGAATGTGACCAACTTGGTTTCGTGCGCTGTTACGGGTATGAGGGCTGATATCATTTCCCGGCTGCCCACACCGTGGAAGGGTATTTCTTGAGGAATCTGAAAATGAAATTGGATTAGTGTTGCTCTTGACGACCTGGAAGCGTGACCACAGAGCCCAAGGGACAACTGCTTGAGGCCGGTCGCGCATGGCCTTTTTGTGGAAGGTTTTTGACGTGTTAGCTCCGTTCTTCAAAGGGCCTTACCGCCGGAGACGGAAATCCGTGAGGTAAGTTGAGGTGTGACATTTTTAGGGTCGACCTTTTCTAACCTCACCCCTCCTTGTGGGAAGGCAGCATCGCTGTCATGCTGGTTGTCTGAGGGAAACACCTTACTGCTGTCACACCTCTCTACAGTCAGCAGTACGACTTCGCTCTCAGACTTTGAGTTGCTCCTTTTAGTCTTACCGTTCACCAATCGACCTGCCTGGCATGGTAGAACCTACAGGAACATATGTTCCAGCCAATATAGCTCGGTTGGGTCATCACGATAGTCAAGCCCGACCACCGCGTCAAGGTAGCAGCTTCGGTCGGGTGAAGCTCATGTAACCGAGTACGTTAATCTGATCAAGGGTTTTGGATTTGATATGATTACCCTTCAAGGAGTTTTACGAGTAGAATTTGAAATTTAGTACGATATTTAAATACGTATATTGATTAGCTTTATGCGGTTTCCGTGAATTATCACTAAGGTCTTAAATTATTTTTCCAACATTGGGACTCACGTGGTTGTTGCTGTTTGTAATTGCGCCATAACTGTTTCGCTCTGGCAATAAGTTCAGCTTTTTCAACACAATGAGTGAAGTCAACAAAATTATAGACTAAAAGATCTTTGATCTGACGAACAGAAAGATTTTCAATGGATTCTTCTGACATCAAATCTTCAAGTTTAATATTACGTTTTGTTGAGTCTGGAAACTAAGCAAAAATTATATTTTCATCGATTAATAAGGTTTAGTAAAAGTGGAAATTATAGATTACCGGGCTATAAAAGTATATGCACGCCGTTTAGACTTTCAATGGATATGAAGGGATACATAATATCCCAATTAAGACAGACGTTTCAGGACAAGCCTATAACACCGAATTAGTAAGCTACACATATGCTGACGTCCTGAAAGTGATAGTTCTAAGATATGAGAACAGCGATAACGTGAGACAAGTCAACTCTACAGAACGTTCTAGACGAGTTCTTCCAAGTGGTCTTATCCATCATTCCGCTAGTATCCTCAACGCTGTTCAGATTCTGTCACTAGTCTCTATTTCTGCAATTTCCTTGAAAGAGTTTGTTTTTTTCTGCCTGACAAAGGAGCAGTGGCCGTGGTTAAAGTACAGCACCGTTAACCAATAGACCGTAGGATTGAACGTGCAGAAACTTGATAGTACTGTTAGCCGTTAAAGCCATACTAGGTAAATGAGTTACATGCTTGTTGTACCCCGATAAGAGTATAGTGACCTGTAGAATTTCAGATTTAAATAATAATCATATCTGCAGGCATATTCAGCCGACAAAATTCTAGCCAGCAGGTTATTGTCGAACTCTACTAGTGCTCGTCCTCGATTACACTTTTCTATAAAATTAAATACGAGTTCTTACGATGACACGTCTGGCGAATGAGAAGCAGATAAGTTTTCTTGAATAACGGTGGTACAGTAAGCTGCGATTACGGAAGAAAGAATGGTATTAGTCAGTAGTTAAGGTGTCAAACGAAATAATTTACAGTTTGAGAACTTCAAGATGAATGGGTAAATAGGCAGTAATAAGTATCACATGCTTTTGGTACTGATACACTTGATAGTTAATGCTTTGAAAGTAAGAGGACAAAACTCATATCTTTAAATGAAATTTACAGAAGATGGTTTTCCTTAGGTCATAAGTCATTTATTCTCTTGTATCCCAACATTAAACACTGGTTTAGAATGTTGATAGTTATACTGATTTCCCTCAATACCATTTAACTTTCATCGGGATAAAGTAAGTATTAAGTAAGCATCAAAAAATTGATATATTGTAAAATCGGACATTATTTTTGTCAAGTAATTTAGAAAAGCTTGAATAAAAAAGTAAAGTGACAACTGAGTCTGTGGTTAATTAATTTTAAACTAGTGAATGCATTAGCAATCTACATTTCTCTGAGTAAACAACAATAATGAAGTTTATTTTAGCAATCCAACCTCTAAAACTTTATTCTCTGTTGAGCACTTTATTTTAGTACATAATGTTAAGGTACGGTCATCCCTTATTTATACAATACATAGAATTCGAAGTAAGGATCTAACTTTACCAAAGAACAGAATCTATTAAAACATACATAATTTCTCGACAAAACAGACTCAATTCCAAAAAGCCCCTCTAGATTCTGACATTTTCGAATATTCGAGTTATCAAGCAGACCACGCTAATAAGCATATAATGAAATAGGTTTTTAGCTTTTTGAAATCCTTAAATGATATTCGGAAGAGATTCAATGTTTCTATTGCACAGCCAATACTATTTGTGTAGAAATGAAAGTAAAAAAATACGCTTGATCTGTACACTAACCAAATGGTCATCAGCGTTTGTACTTCGGGTGGTAATGCCTAGACTGCTCAGCACTGCATCCACAAATTGCTCTTTCTCAATCAGACCAACGAAAGGTATATTACGACGTCGCATAAACCATTTTAAATCACGGATATTAAGACCCATTACTGAATCCCAGTTAGCTTGATTTGACTGTAAAACTCTGCACCGGTTGCATAAAGTTGTACGATCTGGAAAAATGCAACAAATACATTTCTAAAACATGTTATGGTAAGATCAAAACTTCGGTCAAATTCTTTCATGCCACGTGTTAGGAGTGCGATATATATTGGTACGATTCGGGTGTTTGTCACAAATATAAGACCAAATTCTTTACCTTCGACGTTTTTCTGATTTTCGTTTTTTCTACGGAATAAAGCTCCATAACTAATACAGAACCAAGATGCTTTTCTAAATCTTTTTTGGATTCCAAGTATTATTTTACTACTCTTCCTCACGTTCGAATTCAACTTCATCACAGTCAGACTTGCAAAATCACGAATACCAAACTTCTCCTGGTGTAAGAACTTAAGACTTCAATGTTTTTCATTAGGATGGTTTATGTATGTGAAGAAGTGAGTAATTAAGTTAAATTGCTGTAAAACTGGCAGGAAAAAGAAGAGCAAATGCGATTTTTAAACTTGCATTTAATTATGCTGATAACTTCCAGCTTTTATCCAGAAACAATATCAGTAATTATTTACATGTATTCATGAGGATTGGGATTTTACCAACCACCCGTTTAACTAATTGTTGTGACCACCATAAGCAGAGATGGATGGTAGCTAGCAGTGGAGTTCAGGACGTAGGTCTCGCCCTATTTGTGGCTCGTGAGCTGGATGCACCTAAATCTCAGAGTAGATGTACACTCTGGGACTCAAACTTAGGCAATCCGCACAGGATGGGCATATGCCAATAATCGACTGGTCAATTGCAGTCCTAAATATCAAAAGAAAGATTCGAACAACCAATACAAAAATTGTATGGCCACTGTTACGACGGGGGATTTGAAGCAGCACTAATAGCATTGTTACTTCCATCTCCATATTTGGTTAATTATTTGTTATCTGATAAGTTAACGTACTACTTTGACCGAACATTCCGCCTACAAAAAGCGGCTTAAATTTGATGGATTTTATAGACGAAATGATGGTGTATCGATGCGGTCATCACTCGCCTCACTTCTAGCCAAGTATTTCATGGAGGATCCACCCAGGGGAGTTGGAAACACTGATTTCAATCCAATGGTGCACATGGGCTCCACGATCCTAAGGAAACAAATGGCGTGTGATCCTAAAGTTGGTCACCAGCTACCATGTAGTTGCTTCTGCTCAAGTTGCGCCACTGGCTTGAGGATTAAAATTTTTGGTCAAAGACTCCGGGTATGGTACCCTAAGAAAACCACCTACTTCTGTTTGGGCACCAGAGGAGTATCCCTGCCTTCACACAATGAATGATTTATGTGGTACAAATATATTTTGTGCCTTCTTGTACCAATGTTCATCTGTTTAAATAAATTAATCATACATAAGAGATATTTCAGTTATGCTTTCATAATCTGAGCAAAAATATCGAACTCAACAGCTTTCTCGAGGAGTTAAATAGTTGCAACCAGTCAATTAAATTCGCAACAGGGTCACAACTGAACTCAGAATTCCACTTCTTGGATGTTTGACTAGGCAAGACATCAGATAAATCACTGCAAAGCTTGGAATGTAGAAAACTAAATAGTCGAAAGAAAAACTTGTTTCACTTTATCCACAAGTGTAAGACAAAAAATGTACTGAGATAGATTTGATATACAACTGAATAAACTCCAAAAGACAACAATAACAGCTCTCCACCTGTGCTCACCGGAAGAAATTTGAAGACAAAAACTGTTCACGAACATTCAAGTGAAATGATATACTGGAATAGAAATCCAGAGAATATCATTTAAACCATTTAAACTCTGTCCCGATAGTTAAAAGATCTCTCAGAAGAATTATGATGCCTCGTGATGAAAGCTGAAATTCTTCGGAAGTCACGAGAATGATGTTCTTTCTGACAACCAGAACAACAGCCAAGTCAATAGAGGTACATGGAATGTCCGGATAATGTGGGAGACCGTGAAGACTGAAGGAGAGAGAACCACTGTGGAGGACAACTGAAGATGGATTAAAGAGGCACTAACTTCAACATGTCAGGAGGCGCTGAGCCGTAACAAAAAATTGGACTGTATCGAAACCCTGGACAAGTTTCAAGAGAAGAAGAGCACGAATTTAGCAATTAACAACTATATGACACGACGAAGAAACTATCAGAGAAATATAACAAACCAGAGCAAACGGTCAAGAAAATCAGGGAGAACTAGTTACTGAGGTTTAAGTACAGCGTAACAAGTGGATAGAACACTCTGAAGAACATTGGATTAGATCAGATCCACGGGACAAACCAGATCTCGAAACAACACCTACTGACCTTCCTATAGATATAACTCCGCCAACAATCGAAGAAATCAGGATGACAGTCAGAAAAATCAGGAGTACGAAAGCAGCAGGATCTGAAAACATACCAGCCGAAGCACTGAAGTAAGACATAGCAGTAACTGCAAACACACTTCAAATTTTATTCAGGACGATTTGGGTAGGAGAACAAGTGCCACCGGTAGACTGGGAAGAAGGATATCTCATCAAAATACCGGAGGAATGAGATCTGATCGAATGTGAGAACTATAGAAGCATCATAGTACTATCAATCCCTGTTGGGGACGTTAGATCCCCAAAACTCATACTTTGTAATTTTATCTTTGTCGAGCTTGTATGCAGATGTACGCTTGGGCATTTCTTACCACCCACGCACATAGTCGATTGACGAACTTATCGATTAAATGTTTAAAAACTTTCATGGCAATATCGATTATATATATATATATATATATATATATATATATATATATATATATATATATATATATATATATATATATATATATATTTATTATTTGAACACATAAATATTGGTACAAGAGAGCGCCAATATATATGCGCCACACAAAACATTGAAAATTCGAAGACAGATAGAAAAAAAAACTAAGGAGCACAAAAGAAAAAGAGAACGATAACGAAGAGATTGGTGAAAGGTAGTGTGGTCGTAACAATGGAACGAAAAGGTACAATCAGAAGAAATCTTTCAAGTAAGGGAGACACAACCACTTTTTATGAAGAAAGTAAAAGAAGGTTACAGCAGGATCGCCACTGACTTCTATTTTGAGCCATATCTGATAACGTTTCCAGCCACTGTGTAGCACAATCTCTCGGACCCCAAACAGGGAGTCGTGAAGGGCCGATACAAACCAGCCCTTTGCAGATTTCTTTCATACCATGTCATGCACTGACCACCTCTCCGCTTTTTCCAACCAGTCACAGAGTCGGCAAATAATGCACGACGTGGAATTCTCTGGAACGACATTCGTAGAACATGTCCAAGCCACCGAAGTCGGTGTTTCAAGATAGTTACATCGATTGCATTATCATCTGTGTGCCCGAACCTCTGCATTACTGGCATGGTGTTGCCACTGAATGTCAGCAATCCTTCGGAGACAACGATGACCAAACACAGAGTCATCTAACATCCTCAACTCGGAGAGGCCAGGTTTCACAAGCATAGAGCAAAACTACTCTCACCGACGCGTTGTAGATCCGACCTTTTACAGCCAGACTAACATCACGAAGGCGCCAAAGGTGGACCAGATCGGCATAAGCCGCTCTGGCTTTCACTATACGTGCATTGATCTCATCACTCGACACGAACTTCTAGACTACGTCTATCTGCTCACTATCCAGTGTGAGTACAGGATTAGAATTTTGCCAGTCTTGTAGAAGTACTTTGCACTTCGAAGGTGCAAAGCACATACCATATCTACGGACACTGATTGCCAACTGATTAAGTGAGGATTGCATGGCTTGGGCATTATCGCACAGTAAGACAATATCATTCGCATACTCAAGGTCGAGAAATCTTTCTCCAGGCAACAGATCCACACCATCAATACTTACATCCATCAGAGCTGTTTCCAGAATGTCATCGATGGTAAAGTTGAAGAGGAATGGTGAGATTGGGCAACCCTGCCTAACCCCACTATTCGAATGGAACAATGGAGAGAGGTGGTTGTATGCCCTCACTCTACCTGAGGTGTTTGTATATAGGACTTTTAGGATGTGAATAAACTTCTCAGGCACACCCTTCTTCAATAGACAATCCCAGAGAACAGTCTTGTCCAACGAATCGGAGGCAGCCCTGATGTCAAGAAAAACTACGATTGTTAGCCTTTGATAAGTATGGCGATGCTATAACATTTGGCGGAGGGTGAAGATATGATCGATAGATCCTCGACCAGGAAGAAGACCAGCCTGCTCCTCATGAGTCAATCTTTCTCAGGTTTTGAACAACTTACGAAGTATGACGGAAGCCAATAGCTTGGACGCAATCGGAAGTAGACTTATCACCCGATAGTTGTTGTAGGAACGACGTGAACCCTTTTTAAAGATAGGGACAACTATCGACTCATTCCATGACGTTGGTACACTCTCTAGCTTCCACACCTTTGTAAACAACGTCGTCAATTCCTTAGTCAAAAAGTCACCACCATCTTTATAAAGAGCCGGAGGTAAGTCATCTGGGCCAGGTGATTTGTAACGCTTCAAGAATTGGAGTTCCTTGCGGACTTCCTCCTCGTTTGGTGGATCAGTCGTCACCGGCCATGGAGGGCAGGACAGTCTGACCGATGTTGCCGGAGTGGCAGATTAGTTGAACTGCCCTTCGAAAAATTCTGCCCATCGTCCAAGACGTCGATGGATGTTAGTGATTGGCATCCCATCATCCTCGCAGATTGTTTAATCACACCAGACTTCTGGCTGCCAGTGGCTCGGATGGGTTGGAAGATCTTCCGGTAATTACCAGATGCAGCTGCTGCTTCCAGCTCATTAGCACGCTCCGACCACCAGGCTTCTCGGTCCTTACGCAAGCTTTGCCCAATTTCCTTACGTAACATCCTTCGTTTATGGTCAAACTCACGGTCACCCGGAGTAGACCGACGGGCTTCAATAAGTTGTAAGGAACCAGAAGAAACCCAGTGCTTATAAGCGGGACGTTTCGCAAACCCACAACTGGTTGTTCCCGCCATTTTCATGGCGTCATGCAATTGCAACCA